ATAATGACCTTTATCACAATATGCTAATTTTTTGAGAAGGACCTGTATATAGCGCCTTTCTATCTTGTGAAGAAACTCAAAGCGCTTTACATTATAATCTGTGCCCTCATTTGCCTATTCATACAGCACTCTACTAGATATCTACAAAGCTAATTGAACAAATAATTCTGAAGAGACTAATCAGTGCTTTATCACATTCATACACCAATGGGACACACATCATAGGCAATGAGGGGTTCAGTGTCTTGCCCTGAGACACTTCGGCATGTGACTGCTGGTGGATTGGAACCCCCAACTCTTGCATTGGAGGACAACTGCTCTAACCATTCAGCCACAGCCACCCCAATCTAATCTTAGTTAAGAAAATTCCACTACTAGGTCCAGAGAGTTTTTAAATAATAAACATATCCAATTATTATTCTTTTTTCTTGTAGTGCAAAACAGTGCAAAAGATATTTATTTTTTATTCTCTCTGTGCTCTTGGTGGAAGCAGATGCGTCCTCTTCTGCTCCATCCCCCTGCTTTCCTGCTTTGCTCCCTAGTCTTGTGAACCCTTTAAAGAGCCTCTTTTTTCCCCCTGCATACCTTCCTAATTCAATGGATTTGATCAGCTGGTCTCTCAACAAAATTGATCAACTTCTCCCAACAGGAAGTCATGGTGAATGGAAGACCCTCTTATCTCGACGGAAACAAAATTGGATTTATGATGACAACTGGATTCTGCTGTTTGGGTTGGTGAAATCTGGACAGTTTACAAATTTGTGTGGAATGTGTCGAAGCTTGGCAACACTCAGACTGAATTATGTGGAGCTGCATCAGAGCTGAAGCAGGCTGATATCAGGACTGTGAACTTTCTGGCAGCACCCATGAATGGTTGGGAATATTCTTGGAGAAGCTGTAAGCTTGACTTTTGGCGTAAATAATCAATTCGGCTGTTTGGGAGTCACCGTCGGAGAAATGTACTAGCGAAACTTTAAAAGGCAGAAACGGCAATTTACGAGTTCTGCCTGACTCAAACTGTGGATCTGGACCTGGCCTTGAAGGCAGACTATCTCAATTCTCCCTGACATGTTATGAAAAACAAAGACGTTCTGTCTGTCTCCTCACCCCTCCTTTCCACAAAGTCGTGAACATGTGACGGCACTTCAACCAAGCTGGATGATAAACACATTATCTGGACAATGGCTGAGGGGGGGCTTTGGACTATTATACGACCTTCCCTTAAAACTCAATGCCTTCACCGGCCTCATATCTTTTTTAGTTTTGGACATTTGTTATGATGCGTAACCATGGCAACAAGGCAGTTTTCTACAACCAAGAGGAGCTGATTAACATCTCAAAAGCTCAAATAATATCTCAACTACAGCCCCAAATCTCAAATGAGTTGAAAAGGATGTTCTGTGGATGTATTCTCATCTACCTGCTGGAAGTGCTCGAGTGCCTGACCACTGAGATCCTGGAACTAGCAGGAAACACGGCTCATGACAGCGAAAGGACAGGATCGTCCCTCGATACCTACAGTTGGCTGTCTGCAGCAACGAGGAGCTCAGCAGACTGCTGGGAGGAGTGACCATTGCTCTGGGAGGAGTTCAGCCCAGCATTTGGGTGGTCCTACAACCCGGGGGAACCGAGAGGCCAGCTGAGTCTGGGTGGACGGATCAGACAACATCTGCAGCCAGTTTCTTAGGATCCACTGTGGGATGGATCTTTACAAGAGATCCTTCCTGTCTACAGCCATCAGTATCTATAACATCACTTAATGAAATGAGGATAACGAGTTACAACAACAAAATAATTTCCCTTTGGGATTAATAAAGTATTTTTGAATTGAACTGAATATGCAATGTTTATTTATGTTGCTTTGCTGTGGTAGGGATTTTTGATGACTCAAATCGTGTCCTGGTGCCATGGTGTGAGAGATTTTTTTTTATATCTTCTCTTCTCATGTTTTCTTCCCCTTTTCTCATCTAAGCCTAAAAGTATTCTGAAAAGGATAAGAGGCCATGCTCTTAAAGAGCAGCAGCAACGTGCAATCCGCCCATCTTTCAGACAAATGTATGGACATACTCTCGTATCTCGGTACAATGATAATAAAGCTTATTTTGAAATGTAGTTTTAGCGTTTCCACTATTCTCAAGAAATGAACAGCAACAGAGCAGCACTTTACACTGAAAACACTTAACCCTCCAACCTTCTAGTGGGCGTCTCCTTCCGCTTTAAGGAGAGCTGACACAAAATGGCGAACAGTTTCCAATGTGGCTTTGACCGGAGGGTCTCACAGTAAAATTACACAACACAGCGTTACTTTAATAGATTAGAGAGCAGGTTTTTAACCCTTTTTTATTGAGCACAAATGTACTCTCTAAAGCTGACCAACGAACTTTCGACAAAAAACAAAAACCTTTTGACAGAACACAGCGTTTTGCGCATGCGTCCGAATACGAGTACAGCAAGCCGGCCGTAGTTAGCTTGTAGCTTCGCTATTTAGCTCTCGAAGAAAGGACTTTAACACCACTTAGTTTTCAACTCTTAAAAAGTAACTATTAAATCTGACAACTCTGATTTTATATCAGACAGCATTACTGAGGTTAGCCGGTAGAACACAGATCTCTATCATAGGCTAAATGTCTATCATTTCTACTGTGTACTGTATATATCTGGCTGCTGTCAGACTGATTTAAAGCATCTCATTACAACATTCATCAGCAGGTGCACTCACGCCGAGCTGTCCTCGTTGTTGATCCTCTTCAGCTCTCTGATGTGAAGGTTCCTGACTCGCTCCAGCCTCTCCAGCTCTGCTTGGATCTCAGCTTCCTCCTGGACACATGGGTGGACGAAGACATGATTTATTATGAGTTCATCTGATTAGACAAGCATCAAGAAGGTTTGAGGAATACGATGAAGCTCTGATGTCTTTTAGCCTCCGACCTTCTTCAGGTATCCGAGGCGAAGCTTGAATATCTCTTCCTGCTCGTGGTACTCGGCAAGCGTCAGTCTGTAAAATAATACAGAGGTCTAAGACTTAAGCAGCACACTGATGGCCCCCATTCAAATAGGATTTTGAATAGTGAGTGTTTGTAGTGTTGGACATGAGTGTTTGTTTTAATGCACTGGAACTGAACAGACAATTATGTTTTTAGTGCCAGATACTCAAGTTGGTAGGAGTTACACTGTAGATAACAGAGTTTGTTTTTCTTGTCAGACTGAGCGATAGATCATGGAGAGCGGAGGGAGACATTTTATCCACCAGCAGTTGCAATGGAGGAGCCAGAGGGTGGTCAATGGTGGCCTTGGCCCCCATAGATTAAGCTTCAGCCCAATCATTTGAGGAAACTAAATTTTTCAGTGATGCAATAACCAGAAAGCAAAGTTTCCAAAAATGAGGGGCCAGTTTTAGATTTGGATGTGGTAACTTGATTTTTAAAAGAAAATGTTGTTGTGCTTAGATGCAGCCACACATTAAACTGGAAGTCAAGTTATCATGCTCACAACATGCACGGATGGACAAACAATAAGATGGATGGAGGGTATTTCCAATGCCCCCTTTCCACTTTACAATGGGGGACCAAAAAAACACAAGAGACAGTAAGGATACTTGTATTACATACCCGATACAAGCAGAACACGGACTCAATGATACTAGCATTAATACAGGAACACATCAAAACCTCAGAAAGATAATCTTTTAATCAGAGATCAGTGTTCAAATTCCCTGAGGTTTCCCCGATTCCTGAAACAGAAGCCTCACTTATTTTTATGCTCAGAACATGCACGGACGGAGGGTGTTTCTAATTCCTCCTTTCTACTCTGCAGTGACAAAAACTGAATCCTTCAGAATAAACCACATTTTGATGGGCTGCAGTTCAACTGTTATAAATTCCCCAGTATAACTGCATGTTCTGAGCAGGATATGTTTAGTGCTGAAGTCATTGTTTTTTACATTTACCATTTGGGCAACTAAACTGTAAATGTCCAGCAGGGTGGCCCAGCTACATCTTGGCCAGTCCAATACCAGCCCAGTTCTACAGCTCCCTCCAACCCAGTATATTGGCCAACCTCAGCTGTAATAATGCCAACCAGTCAACCCCTGGCTCCATCAACACAGCTCCCTTGGCTGCAACCCATGTCCCTATCAAGCGCTGTTACACAGCACTATCAGACTCCATATACTGTTGCTAGAGTCCCACAGCCTGTGCACCAGCCCTTACAAGTTATTAATGCACAACTGGTGCACCAGCCCCAGAGCTACCAACCAGGTATGTCCCTACAACCTGTCCTTCAGCTACAGCCTCCTCTCATAGCACAGTATGTGCACTAGCCCCAAAGCTGTCAGCCAGGTCCGTTTATACAACCTGCCCTTCAGCTACCACCTCCTGCCGAAGCGCAGCCTGTGCACCAGCCCCTACAAGCTATTAATGCACAGCTGCCACACCAGCCCCAGAGCTATCAACCAGGTCTGTGTCTACAACCTGTTCTTCAGCTACAGCCTCCTGCTGGAGCGCAGTCTGTCTGCCAGCCAGCACCCATGCTAGGTCCATCTCCTCAGGTATACAGTTCTCTCCTGCCAGAGTATACCACGCCAGTCTCCATACATTCTCCACCCTCTGAAGCAGCCCGTTCCTGTACCTGAACTGCCCAAGCTGGTCTGTAACAGTGTGAAAGAATTCACTGATCTTTTTTCATTCAACCTTTATTTAGACAAGTAAATCCTATTGAGCCTTGAGGACTCATTTACAAGAGAGACTTGATTTCAACAAAGAATGATGACAACAGTGGACAATAATAGACAGCCACAAAAAAGGCAAAGAAAAAGAGAAGGTGTGATTAAATGAGGATTGACTTGTAGGAGGGATTTGAATTGCAGAAGTTTCGTTATTAAGTGAAGTGGCTGATTTTCCATTAGTAACTGTGTCAAATAAAGAACTAGAAGCAACAAAACGTTTGTTGAAACAGTTCAGGATCTCGTGCTTATTACATACACAGGAACAGAGTTAATGAGAAGTTGTGATGGGAGGTCAGATGATTGGGAGCTGCCTGAGAGAGATTTGATGGTTTTCCAGAATCTGTTAGGGTCATTTAGATTTTTGGAGGTCTGAGATAATAAATAGTTGCGATTTGCTGCTTTGATGGCAGTTGTGCATTTATTCCTCATCTGTCGAAAACTCAACCAATCAGTGTCTGAGCCAGATTTTCTCGCTGCAGCTTAAAGATGATCTCTCCTGTGCAGGAGGTCAGCTAGCTCTTGAGTAAACCAGGGGCTGTCTCATCCCTTTATTCTGAACTGACAAAAAGGAGCATGGTTGTTCACAAAATGAAACTTATGAAAATAGTTCCAGGCAGAGTTCAAGTCGTCAGTTAACAAAATACGATGCCAGTCAAAGTGGGATAGATCCCAGAGGAATGACTGTTCGCAAAAGCGTTTCAGATCCCTTTTTTGAAATAATCTGGGCTTAGAAGGTGGAAGTTTAATATCTCTGAGAGCCGCCATTACACAATGATCACTCAAAATTTCAGTAAATACACCTGTACCAAGGAATTTGTGAGGCATATTAGTTAGAAACAGGTCTAAGATGGAAGATTTTTCAGGACGTTTTTTGTTTGGTCTAGTGGGAGTCGATCAATTGGGTTAGATTGAGTGACAGGCAACATTCTTTGAATTTATCACAGAGGGGGGTCGACTTATCCCAGTCAATGTTGAAATCTGCCAAAAAAATCTCTTTGAATTTTAAATTTCCAAGGAATTCAAACAGGGAGGACAGAGCCTAAGGTGTTGCTGAGGGGGGACAATAACCCACTACAGATAAGATCTGGCCTCCATTCAAAGTGATGTTTACAGCTAAGGCAACAAACTGGATTGGAATTGTTTTAGTAGACACAAGACTAGCAACCAGAGAATCTCTGATGTAAATAGCGACTCCCCCCCCCCCCCTTTCTTGACGATCACAGCGATAGATGTTAAATCCATTGATTACCAGGTCATTATTCAGTACAGATTTGTTGAGCCAGGTTTCAGAGATGAAGATTACATCTGTCCCAGAAGAACTGACCAAAATTTTCAAGGCATCAAGTTTTCTCAGAAGGCTACGTGCATTTACATGCAGAAAATGAAGTCCTGACATGTTTTTAAAGTCATTTGGTATGCTGTAATTAGTGGGGGGTCCAGGGTTGGGCTGAATCCCTGAGAGCAGTAACAACATTATTATCAGACATTTTCTTGAGTTTGTCGTGACTGATGTATAATTACAGGAGTTAATAGTGTGACAATTAGCCCCCATAACTGAACCATGAGAAACATTAATAAAGACACAATCATTCAGAACCCAAAAACAGTGAAAGTTGCAGTGATGGGCAGGTCCAGGTGTATTAACAAGATTCAGTGACTCCAGAGAGTCTGAAATCTGAAAATAATGACAATAATATGAATGGTGCAGAAAAGTCTCAGACCATAAAGCATCACAAATCAAATGGGCAAACAAATCCGACGAGGTGGCCCAACTGCAGTTTGAGTTGGGCTGAGGGGGGCTCTGGCCCCCCTGCGAAGATGGATGGATGCTCCCATAAGAAACAGAAGCTGGGTCCAGAACCAACAGGCAGAAACAGATAATTCACAGCAAATAGCAGAGCGAGCTCCCAGAAAATCCTCTTGAAATGAAAGGCATGGTCCAAGCTTGTTTCAGGTTAACAGGGCACAACAACGTGATCTGGGATAAAAATAATTATTTTGCAGGTGAGTTTGGATGGAGGCCTACAGCAACTCTGATGCAAACTCCGAACTTCTCTCGAGCACCACGCAGCGCTGCTCCTCCACTTCTCTGCACGTCACCCCTGGTGAAAAACGACGAGACTGACCGGAGAGGCTGAAGTCGTCACTGGTCCGGTCCTGCTCCAGTCCGGTTCCGGCGCTCCACAGCACGAGAGGCGAAGAGGCTGAAGTAGTTTCTGGCCCCGTTCTGCTCCGGTCTGGTTCCGGCGGCGCTTCAAAGCATCGGAGCGTCTCCTCCAGGCGACCACAGCGATTCCCAAGGAGGTGGACAGTCCTTCGTTAAAACGGGCTGCTCACTGAGGCTGAGACCGGCTCTATTAAAGACGAAGTCCCCCACAGCCAGCTCGGTTCAGTTCTGGTCCAGTTCGGGGGACACAGGTACACTTCCCCCACACCAATGAAGACACCACGAGGCCAGTCCAGTAGAAAACCAGCAAAAAGCCAGCAAAATACCACCCAGCGATTTTTGTCGGAACCAGGTAGAACCACAAAGGTCCAGAAGAGAAGTTTGTTGGGGTCCAGAGAGAGAAAAAACACCGGACCTTCGTGTAACAACTCCCCAGCTTGATCTTAAGATGGCACTAGACCATCTGCTTAACCCCTACACAGAGCTGTCAGAGCACTACAAGCACCGTGTACTCATGGAGAACCTAGTCCTGGATGAAGCCAGGCTGATTTCCCAGTCTTGCCGACATTATGATCAACCTTACACGGCGGCTATGGAGGCTCTACATATGGACAATCACATCAGCAAGCACAAAGTGAGATTGCTGCCATCCTAAACACCCCTGATGTGAAATCTAGGGACACAAAGGGCTTCCAGAGGTTTGCCCTCAGTGTTGACCTGCTAGTAGGAATGCTCACTTCATTAGAAGGGCCCAATGGTACAGAAATCATGTCAACTGGCCATGTCGACAAGACTGTTAAGTAGGAATGCAAGATATAAACGGTACACGGTAGAAACGAAAATGATGCACTCAAAATTTCATTTAGCCTCATTTAGCCTATGATAGAGATCTGTATTCTACCGGCTAACCACAGCAATGCTGTGTCTAATGTAAATTCAAAGTTGTCAGATTTAATCGTTACATTGTTTAGTGTAAAACTGTGCATAAGTGGTGTTAGTATAAAATCAAAGTTGTCAGATTTAATAATTCCTTTTTTTGTGTTAAAAACTGTGCGTAAGTGGTGTTAAAGTCTTTTCTTCGAGAGCTAAGTAGCAAAGCTACAAG